ATATATTATAAATATATACAGTGTGTTCTGTTATGTCATGTGCTGTGTCTTGGTTTAGAAGCCTCTGTCTTCACAAATCACACATCTATCTGTTGTATACAGTACTATAATCAACAGAAGTAGACCCTACCTGCTATATAGTTAAAGTGTCTGACCAAACTTTTAATTTGTTTTGCATAGATTGGGGAAGGATTCGAATCCTTGTCAGATGTTGCTATCCAGGGCTCGGTTAGAGAGATTTTTCCCTTACTTTACTATATTTGTAACAACGGCTTTGGCAGACAGCATATGAGAGAAAATCCTGTTGTGCCTTCTCATTAGGAAACTTATAGTGCTCTGGGAATCCTTTGTCCTAAATGGTTATTATGCTTATTAATCCTAAATGACTATTTGTAGAACAAAATTAAATACTAAAAATAATTACTCAAAAACCTTTAAGCATAAAAACAAAAAACTTACTAGACCTAAAGCCAAGTATATTTATTTTTCTTAAAGCCCAACTCCCACATTTAGAATTAAGTAAAATGTTCACTGCCCCAGACCTATTGAAATAGAAACATGCAACCTGCACGTTCTTGCCATTGCTGTTCTTCACAGACTTTCCAATCCGCCTTCCAATGCTAGTTCTCTTTCGGGTCGAATGACGTCCAGTGTGAGTCCTAGGCGTCATGGACACACCCCCAGGTGGGAGGGTGATATATCACTGGCCTTAGCTTACAGCACATTGCTGTAGAGAAATGAACTGATGTTTTATTGTGAATGCTGCTCTCTGCTTCACCGAGTACTGCTCTCCACTAATATAAACCGGGTTAGCTCATTTCACTGCTTGAGTTTAGAGAGAAGCAGAGGATGTTTCTTCTTTTCAGTGGGAGAAGGGAACACCAAATTTATGGCGGGGTGTTTATTTATTACAGGTATTTATATAGTGCCAACAATTTACACAGTGCACATCCACATCAATCCCTGTCCTCAAGGAACTTACAATCTAAGGTCCATATCTCACATACATACTAAGCAATTTAGATAGGAGCCTATCAACCTTCCAGCATGTCTTTGGAGTGTGGGAAGAAACCAGAGTACCCAGAGGAAACCCATGTAGGCACAGGGAGAACAGGCAAACTCCTTGCATATAGTGTCCTGACCAGGATTTGAACAGGGGACCCCCAGTGCTGTAAGGCAGAATTGCTAACCACTTCATCACTGTGTACCTAATTCCTATGCCATCAACAACAGAACACCAATTAGGTCATTAAAGAAACCTTGCTATAATGGTTTGGCAACTTTGTTTGGAATACCGAGGGCATGTCTTGAAAGTGCAAAGTTTGCAACGAATTCTGTTGCATTATTAACACTGATTGGGGCCAAATGACCCACAAGAGCTCACACAAGGCCACAAATACTACCATAACTAAAAGCACTTATGAAAGATGCCAGACTTCTAGTATGGGCCGGTATTGTCATGCTTTTAATTACTGGCTCAATATCATATATTTATGTCTTATACAGCTCATAAATATTTTTTTCTTTTCTTACTTCACACTTCTTTTTTCTTTGTCGGGGTCCTTTGCACTAACAGTGCCAGGAAAGATGTCTTTTTTGTTCTCCTTAAACGGAAACAAGTAGTATGGTTGTGTGAATTCAGGGGGCTCGTCCACATCCAAGACATTGACAACAACCTCAGTGAGGCTTTTGCGCTTGTCTGGTCTTGCCGCTCCTACGTTGATTGAATAGTCTGTAGCATCAACGGTCATTTTGAATTTATTATGATCACCTTCAAAGTTCAAAGGCTGAAAAGAAAGAAAGCCATATAATGTTTACAAAATCATACACGTCAATACCGTAAGACTAGGAGAGAAAAAAATTATGCTTGCATCTGGTCTAAATTTTAACCATAGGTCTCTTTTGTTTCTTGAATTACAGATGTTTTCAGTCCATAATATGAACAGGACAAGCCAAAATCTGGTAAATGTTTGATATACTTTGGTTGATCTAAATAGGCTTTGGAATCCACCGTGAGTGTGAAGCCAGTTACAGAAAAACTCAGGCTAGACTTCTTAGCCTGCTGCTTCAACCCTAATAGGAAAAGTCAACTGGAGATAGATGGTTGAATTTTGTGGGTATAGGTTGGCCTTTAACAACCAAACATTCAGTGGGCCATTGGTCATTTCTTGTATTTAGTTGAACATTAAAAACCTAACCTATGAAAGTGGTTCCAAAAAAAGGCAGGCAGAGGCTAGCAGCTTACCATTCCTTGTTCTGCCTGTGTCTCTATCTGAAGGTGGCCAGCTTAGTAGAGGCAGGCTTTGATTACTAATATTAGAGCTGCCTTCTTGATGACTGGTGGGATAATGATCAAGATGAAGCGTGAGAGGTAGAGAAATCACAGTTCCACAGAATAATTCAAGCAGGCACTGTGAGATTCTGGCACTGCAGTTCCTCAGAGACAACCTCCTCCCCAGCAAGGAGAACAGTGAGCTGCACAGTAGCAAGTCTCACCCCAAATCTCATGAAAGTAGCACTCTTAAGCAGAAGTGCTTTAGATAGTCTCATACTGAAGAAGTATATCTATGAGGCTCATAGCACAGTAGTGCTTAGTTAAAAATAAATGCACGGCCATCTTTCAGAAGAAATTTGAAACAACTTAGGCACAATTCATGATTATAAATGTTGCCTATAAGATAGCAAATTTTCACTTTTTGAGAAGATCTTTTAGGTATGGCATATACAGCCATAGTTTTAAGGTATGGTAAATGCCAAAGCTCTTACCTTTTTTAGAATGAGTAGTCCTTCGTTGGTCTCTTGGTTGGGTTTTATATGAAACCACTCTTCATACATTTGTTTCAGGAAACTGTACTTTGTGTTTCTATTCTGAGGTTCATCAATGTCTATTACCAAAAGTTTTCCAATCACATCCCCCACTCTCCGATCCTCAGAAACATTAAAAGTGAATTGATCTTTGGAAAAAAAATATAATGATTATGCAATAGCTACTATGGGATTGATTTACACAAAGGCAAATAGGCTGTGCGTTTGCAAGGGGATTGGGTGAAGCTCTGCTGACGTCCATCATCCAGTCTGGTGTAAGCAAAATGTATTTTTTTTCTAAATTACCTTGCTTGTGATTGGGTATTCGTTGCAAAGTGAATTTTCACCATATTCACTAAGCTAAGGGAAAATTCCCATGCAGAGTGAACGCCCTATTTTTCTTTATTAAATCAACTCCATGGTCTTTTGAAATCATTGTATGCTTAATAGGAATATGCAGAGTAACCACTTAAAGAGACACTAAACTCAGAAATGAAATCCTAAAAATGCAATCATTGACCATAACTATTACCAAAATGTATCCTATTTGTGTATCACTCAGCTGTAGATACTCAAATCATCTCTGAATTCGTGATGATACTGTCACTTCTTCTGGAGGGTGGCTACTTGGCCACATGGTCCCTGTGTGTGTTGTAAAGTAGCCACTACTCCAGGCTCGCTCCCGTGATGGACTGCAATCTCATGTTTAGTTTACTAATCTGTATTAAAATTATAGTCTATCATAGGAGCAAGCTTGGAGCAGTGGCTACTTTACAACACACAGGGGCCATGTTGAACAAAAGTAGCCACCCCCCAGAAGGAAGGACAGTGTCAGCACCAGTTCAGAGATGATTTGAGGATCTACAGCTGAGTGATACACAAATAAGATACATTTTCGTTAATAGTTAAGGTACTTGAATGCATTTTTAAGATTTAAGTTTTGGTGCCCTAAATAATCCCTCCTGTATTAGAACTTATTTTAAACGGAACATTTGAGGTTTTCCTAACATGGCTTAGAATGCTGTGATAGGGTTTAAATGACTTTATATGAGGTGACTAGTCCTAATGATAAATAAAAAGTCATTAGCCAATAATAACAAGGGAAACCCCACCAGTGCCTATTGTGCCTAATGCAAAATCACTTTGGCATCCTCACTTTGAGTGCTAGAGGACCTTGTCAGGGTACTGCATGCAGGGTGCTGTAGTGAATTGGTGGATGCAACCACCATACAATCATAAGAAAATAACAATCTTTAAAAGCACACCTTCATATAGTGATAATCTTGTCTTTTAATCACACGAAGACTTTGCAATCTCAGAATTTTTTTCACAAACTTTTTTGTTATGGACATGTTTTTTTATAACTACTGCTACTCAATAACTACTCTCTTTAAAAGCCTCTGTAGGAACAAGGGTCTAGCATATTGGATGTGGATTTAATCCCTTCAGCCTGTGGACTTTGTTAGCTCTTCCATTGCATTGACTCCTAACGTAACGGGGGCTAACCTCCCTTTGTGTGCAGACTCACAAATGATGGTGTCATTGGGGACAAAGTGTAGATATCACATCTCTGCAGCTTGTCATATATGTGCCTGTAGCAGCTCTAGCTTGCAATATTGTATGTAAATGGTCACACGATTTGTTCATCATCATAAAAAATTGTATTTTAGCAGTGCTGATATATAGACAACTATTCTTACTCTCTGTGAACATTGGGAAGTTGTCATTGATGTCCTTCAAATGAATGGTTACCGTTGCTGTACTAGATAAACCACCATTTTGACCAGGGCTGTCTTTGGCCTGTACTATGATTTCATAGTTTGCTTGCTCCTCTCTGTCCAGGTTGGAGACAGCTGTGTAAATCTGCCCTAAAAACAAGAGAAAACGCAGTGTGTTGTTACAAACATATCTGACTCCAATATCTGAGGATGGCGTCAAAGGCCATGATCCTTACAAGCAGCTTTTATGCATGTAAGCCTATGAATCTCAAGCTCAATTGGTTTTTAATTCTTGGAAAGAGATGGATGGATTAGAACCTCTGTGAGGTTTTTAACACTGTATCTGTCCCTGCTGGCGAAATGTACCCTCTCTATTTTTATTGGTGACCATTGTCAATAGGACAGAAAGCAATGGAGAGCCCACATTTTTATAGATGTCACTGGAACCGAAGGTGAGCAGACATCTTCCAATGAGGACACCTGTTCTGGTGACACCTGTCTAAGAAGGTATTTCCCTTCACTTTGGCGAGATTTCCTCTCTCTTCCCATTGGGTTTATGGGACAGAAAGTGATACCATTTCCCCTCAAAGGGGAAGAGGCCCCAAAAAGAAAATAAAACCCCAACAAGGGTTATAACTAGAGATGCACTGAAATTAAATTTTTAAACCAACCCTTTCACATTTTGTAAAATTATTTTTTAATTTTTTTTTTACTTTACTATCGGGGGCTCTAGGGAAATATCAAGGGTTCAAACAGACCCTTGATATTTCCCTTTTAAAATAGAAAAAGAGATTGAGGACACAGAGTCCTCAATCTCTTATTCTGCAGCCCCTGTTATGAATGAACAGGAAGCTTCTATACTGAGTGCTTCTGTCCATTCATAAACTGTGGAGATAGTATGAGTTACTATGTCCGCAATCATGAATGAATAGGAAGTGATGTAGAGCACTTCCTATTTATTCATAACTGTGTACACAGTAAGCGTACTATGTCCTCAGTTATTTACAAACACTCAACTATTAGCTGATCGCTGAATGCTTGTAAGCCATTCTCCATCCTGACTCCTTCGTCTCCATCCTGACCCGCTATCACAGAGAGAACCCGGCGTCCTGTGACAGATGACTCCTCCCTCACACCGGTCGGCATCCTGACTCTCCGCCTGTCATAGGAGCCCTGCTCGGCATCTTGAAACCTTCTCTCCTCCCCGCTGGATGCCGGTCTCTGTCCCCTCGGATTCCCGCTGCCTCTGCTAACATAGGCAGGGTAGAGGAGTGGAGATCTGATGGGACACAGATCAATGCCGAGCAAGGAGGAGAGAAGTTAGGAAAGCACAGAATTTTCAACTGCATTTTCAGTCATTATGGTACTTTCAACATTTTTTTTTTCATGTTTCGGCTAGCGAAGTTTCGGTGCATCCCAAGTTTTAACAATTCCCTATAATATCCAAAATTAAGAGCAAAAAAAAAGACAATTTGTTACAATGAATAATTTTTCAACCTAGAGCAACCAGTCCAAAGTCATATTTTATTGTTCTGTCTGCCATAAAGTAATAAATGTTGATCTCTGCTTTGTTGCTATAAATATCTACATATCACTGCCCTTTGCAGCTATTAAATAAGTATCCTAATAAACTAACAGGGTTATTCACAAAAGGTTGAAGAGTTTGGAGAAGGCAGGAGAAGTGAACAATCTAGGACAACATAGCTGATTTGTAAAAATTCTCCAATTCAGCTCACTTTCCAGTTCAGCTATGTTGTCCTACCGTATATGCCGACGTATAAGACGGGTTTTTAGACCCCAAAAACCTGCCAGAAAACCAGGGGTCGTCTTATACGCCGGGTATACTGTATGTAGCTTCGGCTACATACAGTATACCGCGCTGAGCCAATCACAGCATGCTTTGTATTCATTAATACAAAGCCTGTATTAATGCATACAAAGCCTGCCGTGATTTGCTCAGCGCTGAGCCAATCACGGCAGGCTTTGTAATAATGAATACAAAGCCTGTATTAATGAATACAAACCCTGCCGTGATTATCTCAGCGCGGTATACTGTATGTAGCTGAAGGACGAAAGATGGAGGACACTGCGGGGATCGTGGACAAGGTAAGAGACTGTAATCCCGAGTGTGGCTCGGGGTTACCACTTATGGTACTGAGAAATTAACCCCGAGCCACACTCGGGAATACTGCCATGGAGGTTAGTGGGTGCATTTAAACATTATTTTGGGCTATACTCATCTTATACGACGAGTATAGCCCAAAACCTATATTTTAACACAAAAAGTAGGGGGTCGTCTTATACGGTAGATTGTTCACTTCTCCTGCCTTCTACAAACTCTTCACCCTTTACTGAATAACCCTGTAAATGTGCAGTATTTATAATTCCTGTCCTTGCACAGTATAGATGATTGTACAGTATGTGCAATTTGAACAACTCTATACACATGTGTCTACTCACCAGTATCTTCAACTGTAATCCCGAGTGTGGCTCGGGGTTACCACTTATGGTACTGAGAAATTAACCCCGAGCCACACTCGGGAATACTGCCATGGAGGTTAGTGGGTGCATTTAAACATTATTTTGGGCTATACTCATCTTATACGACGAGTATAGCCCAAAACCTATATTTTAACACAAAAAGTAGGGGGTCGTCTTATACGGTAGATTGTTCACTTCTCCTGCCTTCTACAAACTCTTCACCCTTTACTGAATAACCCTGTAAATGTGCAGTATTTATAATTCCTGTCCTTGCACAGTATAGATGATTGTACAGTATGTGCAATTTGAACAACTCTATACACATGTGTCTACTCACCAGTATCTTCATTGATATAGAATTTTTCTTGCCCATGAATTATTGTGTATTTTACAATGGCATTTCCAGACATGGTGGGGTCATCAGCATCCTCTGCGTTGATCACTGTTACAAGGGTACCTAAAACAAGTAATATCAGACTTAGCTCAGGTGTCTATGTCTACAGTTTACAGATTTATAGTAATCACAGTAATATCATCTTAAATGGTCAGTCCACCTAAAACTGATATTTTGATATTGTTGATATTATGATAGTTAATGGTTGGAGCTGGAGAGCTAGTCCACTTCACAATTTCTTATAACCCGTGTGAACTCTGTTGGTGAGATCTCTACAGTTCAGGTCAGGAGGATGTAAAGTGTGTGGTTGAGTGGTTGGTATTTTATTTTCAATAGCTATACCTTAGATATAGGTCTCCCCTTCCTTATCACAAGAGTAGCAGATCTGATGGGGAGCTACCATATTATCATCACCCCTCTGGCTCGCACCCCAAATATTACATCATATCAGCATTAAGTATCAGGACTGTCAGCCCACTAGCGGCTATGCAATTTGCCAACTGTCATCCGCTGTTGATCACAAGGAAGGGCAGACCTGATGAGGATCTAGAGTAGACTCTCAGAATTACTCATCAGACATCCGCCCACTGTCAATCTAAAGGGAGTTGGACCTGATGAAGAACTAGTGTCTCAACATCATCCATCAGGTTTTGCCCACCCAACAGCTCAACACCTGATGGCAGACCTGAAAGAAAACATTTAGCCATCCAGGAGCTGGGAAGGCTGGGCCGCTGGGCCTGCCTGTGTGTCTTAGTAATGCTGGGATTTTATCAGGCTCAGCAAACTGCATTGGGGATGGAGTGTTGTCCTCAGTGGTGCCCACCATGTGTACTGCCTGACATGGACATCTCCAATGGCCTCATGGATAGAATGGCTCTGCTTAGCTACTTCATAATATGGAGAACGCAAGAGGGGAACCTGAAGAGGACAAGGGTGAGTGTAAAAACCCACCGGCATGTGCAGAGTCAGGAATTACACCTTACAGTTCACGCTGTTTGAGTACCTAAGATATATTAGATGCTGGGGGCTGATTTAACACACTAGGCTCTGCCTATAACTAAAATATAATTTCTGGCTGAATTGACCCTTTAAAGTATAATTAATTAATTAGTGCAATGTTTTGTTTTTGAAAAGGAAGGGCTCTTGGGGCTGGAGGGTTGAACACAGAGGTGGTTAATTCTAGGCTGCGTTGCATTCAGCTTTCCAACGCACACTTTGGAGTGCCAGAGTGAGCAATGTGAAAGTGTATGTAAATCCTATCAATCGGCTTCTCATATTTGCTCCCTTCTGTTCTGTTAAATATTCAATTAAAAATGTTATACTATATCTGTTTGTTAAATGAAAAAACAAAAACAAAAAAACCCTGTTTATCCTACTGCAGAGGCAGTGTTGTCCTGTGCACTCTCCAGTGTTATCTCAAGCAGTTTTATTAGCTAGTGTTGTACTCCTAACACACTTAATGTCCTAGGGGAACAATGCTGCCCCTCCATAGATACAGTACAGTGAGTGAGCTCTGTTACCCTAAGACAGGAAATGTGTTACTGACATGATTACCAGGTAAAAATAAAGTGAACAAGGGCAAAGTGGCATGTCTCTGGAAAGGGCATCCCCCACCCCTTTTATACTCACCTTACCTGTGCTCCTTCACAGCTCCTTCCCCACTACAGCTGGCAATGCTACTTGGAACTTCTGGGTATGAAGAAGCATGTGACCTGTTCCCCGATGACGGAGCCCAGACAAAATAGCCAATCACTAGGCCTGAGTACTTTCACATGACCAGTGACATCACTGCTCACCTTGGTCGCTGGCACAGCTGGTGGTCCAGAATCAAAGAAAGGGAACTCTGGTAAGGTGAGTATAAAGGGGTTGAGAGATGCCCTTTCCAGGGACAATGTCCCCTTGCTATATAATGAGTCTGTTTAAGCAGTGGATTAAGCTGGTATGCTGAAACAATGGAAACAATGGAAAAAAAACTTGCTTACTGTAGGTATTCAACATTTACTTTTCAAATATTGTGTATGCTTTAGGGCCACACAGCTGTGTGTTGTGCCAACAAGCTCGTTTTAGCATGGTAACATGCTCTGTGTGGTTTGGTCCATTGTCATTCATTGTGGTGACATTGAAAGTGAATGGCACCCCAATGCATTGCACAGTAGACCCTAGCGCACCGCAACGCATAAACCGTGTCTTGTGGTGCGCTGCTTTGTAAGTGTCGTCATTTTTCATCCATTGTGGTGAATTGGCAGCCCATGCTAGTTAGTACATACCATGCTTGGACATTTCCGGCACCGAAACATTGTATGATTCTTGCTTGAAAATGGGGGCATTGTCATTAATATCGATCACTCTTATGATAAACGTCTCCGGAGGCTCCAGGGTTTTCATGGTAGTCTTGTCTACTAGCAGAGCTGTTAAATTATACGTTGACTTCTTCTCCCGATCCAGCGTTTCCCAGCCATGGACATCCCCTGAGACCTCATCAACTTTAAAGTAGGTGTCGGCAAATTCTCCCTGAAGGACATACTTGCCATTTGGCTTATCAGACCTGAGCTGTAAAACAATAACTTTTTTTAATTATTTTGCTATGACTATGCTAGTCATTGGTATTATTCGTCATGAAGCAGTAAAATGATTGAAAGCTGAACTCCAGGTATCAGACCAGACGGGTAGATACATGGTTGTAATACATTTATTATACTAGTTTACCTGTTAAAAGAATGTGTGTTTTTGCTGAGCAATTCTTGATTTTACATAGTACTGCCACTGAGGCACCCTCTGGTGTGTCAAGGTACCCCCAGGAGTATGTTTACCCCAAATTGATAACCACAGTACAAGCATAACTAGAAAATTGTAATTGCTGAGAATTTGGGCAGGGCAGTGGGTGGGAACTGAATGGTAGGTGTGGGCAAAGTACACTTATGGGAGGGGCTTAAATAATAGGTCTCGATTTTACAGCAAAGCGTTGCAGCATCAGAGCAGTTTTGCTGCCCACCCATGCACACATCAGGGGAGGCTTTTTTAAAGCAAGGTTTTGCGGAATCAGACTTGCCTCTTAATGTTGCTGGGCAAAACCTTGCTGTGAAATTTCATTGTCCACTTGAAAATGGCTGGTCATGGGCCGCATTGCTGCTCTGGTGGGCATTGATAGAAAGCTCCTTCACCCATGCACACCAGAGAGCAGCCATTTTTAAGTGGACATATTGTAATAAGGTTCTTTAAGAAGACTTTCCACCCCTGCACTCTGACTTTGGCTGTGTGCCCGATCTTACTGTTCGCCTGCTTCAGCCGGAGAATGTACAGCACAGATAACCTCCCCATGTCACATCATTTTTCCAGACTGGTCTCCTCTTCCTGTCCTCCACTTTGCAGCAGCTGATGGCTTGTATTCTGAGGCTTTTGTGCATGACTCACAAAATGAAGCCACACATGTACCTTAGCAGGCTGATAACCGATTACAGTCATTCCAGTAATGACACAGCGGCTGAATCTAAATTTCGGGTCATTTCCGGCATGTTCTCAGCTACAAGTATAAGGGCTCATGCACACAGATGCCAAAAACGCCGCTTTCAAATCCATACAGCATTTCATTTTCACAAATCTGAACACAGCTTTATTATAGCCACATAGTGGTGTAGTGGTTAGTACTTCTGCCTTGCAGCACTGGGGGACCCCAGTTCAAAGCCCAGCCAGGTCACTATCTGCAAGGAGTTTGCATGCTCTCCCTGTGCTCGTGTGGGTTTCCTCTGTGTACTCCAATTTCCTCACACACTCCAAAGACATGTTGGTAGGTTAATTGGTTCCTCTCTAAGTTGGTCCTTTATGTATGCATGTGAGATAGGGACCTTAGATTGTAAGCTCCTTGAGGGTAGAGACTGATGTGAATGTGCAACTATGTCAATTGTTGGCGCTGTACCTGTAATAAATAGTAAATATAGCCAATGTGTCCAAGCTATGTAATTTAGATCAGCGTTCAGTCCACTAAAAATAATGTCCAAATCCTGCGTTTCAGATCAGTATTTCTGTAGTAATGTAATATTATAAGCACATGTACATGCTTATGCACATACAATTTATACACAGGCATATGTAAATCTATTCAAGTTGTTTTAAAAAAAACATTCTTATGCTTAATGCTGTGTGCATGTTTATATGCATAAGCGCACGTAAACACCATTACTTTACTCGCCGTTTGTCTGCTAACTGCTAGCATAAATATGAGTATTTTCATTACATCCGTGTGCATGAACTCTTGGAGGTAGGGAACAGAAAAAGATAAATGCACACTATAAATCTTTTGTAGACATTTCACTCTATTTAAATCTTACCGTTCCGATGCGGAATGGAAATCGCGTTTGCCCTTCAGGAGTGGCCATTTCCTTCCATATCCAACCCCTTTTCACACGGTGATGTCTCTCCTGCCATGGATTCTCCACAGTACACAATGCCAGAGGGGCAGAGCCAAAGATACATACCAGCAGGTGAAGCCACAGCAACTTCATTGTTGCTGGTGCACCAGCAATCTGTAACAGACCAAAAGAAACAATATATTAATGTAACATCCTATTTGTACAAGGCCAGAGCTGGAAAAACTTGGTTGGGAATCATTTTGTATAAAAAAAACTTTTTTTGGTATAATTCCGTATGAATATTAATAGTTTTAACATTGTTATGCGAATAAAGAAAAAAAAATAATTTTATTTTATTGTAGTAAGGTAAATCGGAAATATATAATAGTAACATTTTGCATTTCTTATCCATCCAAGTTTTTGGGTTATTTCCAGATTTTCGAGGCTTTTCTTACTTTCTCTGTTGAAAAAGCCGGTTGTATACAGAGCTCAGTAACTCAATGCAAAATGCACACACACCAGACAGTGAGACGGAGGGGTAACCCAGTGGACTCTATGCTTAGATGCTAATTTATAAAGCAGCGGTATGGCCTGACCACAATAATACTGCTGCTTACAAATGCAAAAAAACACAGCACATTTATAAACAACAGGAGTGCGCTTTATAGATGTGCTGAGTGTTATCAAAATAAATGAATGCGTAAGTGGAAAAAAAAAAGGAAAGGCAGCCGAGTCACGTGACCTGTCATGAAACTGCATCTCCTCCAGCCACAGAATTCTCTCTGAAGTACCACAAGCTCAATGCCGCAGACTGCATTCTATGAATGGGGTGCAAAATGCAGGCTGAGGTGTTGAGTAATACTGTGGAGTATAACAGTGATATCCGCTCTTGGTTATAAATGAGACCCTGAATTTGATTTACAGACTGTCTATAAGGACACAGCTCTCTTTAGAAAACCCAAAGTGGTCTGGAAATCATGGGTGTGCAGTGTATTACATGCTTGTATAAGCACAAATTTTACAAATAATAATAATATACAGTGAAAAAAGTTTACAAAATTACAAGCCTAAAAAAAATGTAACACAGAATCGACACAGAGGTACAGGTTTTATGAAACTACAAGTCCCAGCATCGGCAAGTATATCTCTTTCTCTTCCTGTTTATAGTGCCATGTGCTAGGATGGGAGGGGGTCAAGAAAAGCTTTGAATTTACAAATTGCATACTTACCAACATTTCCATCCTGGCACAGTTAACTCTGCCCACAGTTCGCCTAAGGCCTGCCCAGTGAATGGGTGGTTCTTCCCTGACCCCACCCACTTAGTGGAGTGGCCAATCCAAACCCCACCTATAATTATGTGGGGGCGGCCTACTTGTGGTCCTTGATCACTGTAATGAATGCCTTGTTTAGTTACTGTACATTTGCAGTAATTTAAATAAAGGTGACACTGTGGTACTAGGACATTGCCTGGCGCACAGCATCACTGGGACTGAGGTCCACAATGCAGGACTGCTCTAGCAAATTCGGGATAGTCGGCATCTATGTTATTGAGTGGCCATTTTTTTCTTTAATTTCAAGTAACTGTAAACCCAATCACTAAAATCTAGGTTAAGTTTTACTACATAAATGTCATTGAAAAATTCATTTTCAATCTTTTTAAATCTGCATCTTTCCTTAAATTAATTCCTGGTGATCCTGCAATTAAAGTCTTTGTTCAGGCATGATTCTTGTTTCTTCCTGTTGTGCTCTTGCATTGTCACCCTGTCCTTCAAGTTTTCAGTGGAGAATACAAATGTATATTTCCACACACAATATGCAGGAAACCCTCTGTGAACAATACAATATAGTCATAGCTGGAGTGCATGCAAGTGGCTGCAAAGAGGCTTTGAGAGATCAACAGCACTGAGATGCAAAAAATTATGATAAAAAATGTGAAACCAAATTTTACTTTTTTTTTAAATATTATTTTTGATACATAATGCTTTAACAAACAAAACATTCTGTTAGGGTTTACAATGAACAAATACAGGCCCAAATCCTTTTTATGGCTAGGGATCTATGGTTCAGAACAAACCCTATGCGAACCTGTGCTCTTCCAAACACAGAAAGAGTTTCTCTGAACACAGAAGGATGCTCTTTCTGCTGCAGGACATAATGCAAGGGGCATAATGCAGCATCAGCACGACATCAACACAAGAATCCTACCCTGTTGTTTATGCTCAGCTAGGGGTCGGGGAATGACCAGGTGGCTCAGGGCACTTTATGGTTTGGAGGTGCTCAGGTTTGAACTGGGTTCAGTCCGAACCTGAGCTCATCCCTATTCATGACCTCCTGAACCTGGTACCCTCGGGCTAATAGCAGCTCATCCAGGGCTACAATCACCCTCAGGCATACCACCCACCTTTCTAAAATGAGAAACCAGGTCACCTTCCAGCACAATGTACTGTATTTAGGTAATGGACACACCCCTTGCCATGGCCCCAGTTATGCAGACCATGTAGAATTTATATTCCAAAAATGATTGGTTCATTGTCTTTTTTTTCACCATTACTTTTTTCTCTGTACTGGCTTTTTGAAATATAAAACAAGATAATGAAAAGATAAGATAAAGGTTTTAGTGCAGAATAACACTTTTGGTGGTTAAATAGAACCTTGAAAAGAGGGAGAACCAAGGAGGAAAGGCCTGATGAAGGGACCCTGAGTGGCCCCCCGAAATGTTGCTTTATGATGAGATGCGTGTACATCAATAAAATGACCACTCGTTGAAGATTTTACTTTGGTGTGCTGGTGATATACTTTCCTCCAAGGATCCAAAGAGGAAAGGGGGACAGAGGGATTTGAAATTAAGGACAGTCCCTTCAAATGAGGAACAGTTGGGAGGTATGAGCTTGGGTATGGTGGACCCCCTGGACTAGTGATCTCCAAACAGCTCCCTCTTTTAACCAAATGGCTAAAGCATCCCTTAGTGCATTCACCTAGCTTATCTGGAGTTGATCTCCAGAACGGTGGTAGAATATACTTCTGTGCAAGACGGTGCAATAGGCTCTGAGAATAGCCAGACGTAATTGGCACAAAAACACATCCGCCTGCGCAGAATGCAAAGAGCATTGATTTACCTTTTGTGAGGTGCCTTCAATGTGCTTACGAAAATGAATGTGCGAGACAGCCATGAAATTTCCGAGGAGAGACATTTAATTTACAACTCCCTATGGAGGCTATTAAACCGTACAGGCCTGTCTCGTTCATACTAAACCCATCTTCATAAAGCCGAAAGTATTGGCTTCTAGATTTTTCAACGCAAGGTTAATGGAAGGTTAAACATACTCTGGTATCGACTAGCAATTGCAGTGAATGGGAGGACTCGTTGGCTGCAGACAGTCACGTTTTTATTAGTCATATTACCACAAGCTGAGGGAAGCCGGGCAATTAATAAATGTGCCATTTCATCAGGTGAACACTGGGATATCCCATTCATAAACACAGCGAAGGCGGCCGACACAAAGCTTTTCCTCACGCCGAGAGATTTTTCTCAGTCCATGGGCTTTTTTTTTTCATTGTATCCCTCCAATTTCCCGAAGGTACTTTAGAGGAAATAAAGATAATATTTGTGGTATTTATGAAACGTGCTCCAATTTATTGTTTTTGCAGTGTATCTATACTGCGCCGGCTCTCATTGTTGCGATGTGCTTTATTATTTTATTCCTGAGGAACTGAGCTAGGAAAAATGCTCCCGTAATTCCTCCGGAGCTTTAAAACATAACATTACAAGAGAGATAAAATTACCATTATTAATATCACAAGCCGAGAAACAAAACTGCCGAGGGGATTTTACAGAATTGATTTATTTTTTTCTTTTTACATTTTGATTGCAATTCCACTGGTTACAGCAGTTTTTTAAAATTTATTTATACTACTATTTACTGTATATTCCTCATGTTCCCTTAAAGTAACCAACCACGTAACATGGAAGCTGCCATTGCTGACCTACTTCTAAAAACACCGGCCTGGCTGTTATGCTGACCCCCTGGCTTTAGTATGTTGAGTTGCAGATCTGGAGCAAATATGCACATCAGAAAAATAAAAAGTTCTTAGTTGTGTTCCTGTTTCCAGTTAGCAATTCAGTACTGAGTAGGGTCAACATGACAGCCGGGCAACTAGCATTTTCAGTAGGATATGTCAATAACAGCAGCTTTCATGTTTCTCTTGCTTTAAAGTGAACCGTGGCTAGGCTATGGGCATTCAAGTATTTACATATTTTTAAGGCTGAACTCTGGGCACAAAAAAATATAATTTAAATATATTCCTCAGTAGCAATAAAGGATATAAATCCACTTTCTCTACACCAAATGCTTTTGCAAACCCAGGTACAGTATCGGTGACATAATCACTTGGCTGTACATAGCCATGGGCGGAGAGCAGAGCTGTAAGAGAGCCCTAGAAGGCTCCACCCACTACAGACTGCCTGCAGAAAACTACAGGAGGGGTGGATACAAGACCACTCATCCTTGGCAAGGAGACAGAGGTTCCAAAAGAGGGACAGTTCCTTCAAATCAGGGACTGTTCCTTCAAAAAGGGGCAGAGGAATTGGGTTCCAAAAGTTGGACAGTTCCTCCAAAAGAGGGGCATTTCCTTCAAATGAGGGACAGTTCATCCAAAAAGGGGCAGAGGAATTGGGTTCCAAAAGAGGGACAATTCCTTGAAATGAGGGACAGTTCCTCCAAAAAGGAGCAGAGGAATTGGGTTCCAAAAGTGGGACAGTTCCTCCAAAATACGGGCAGTTCCTTCAAATGAGGTATAGTTCCTCCAAACAAGGGGCAGATGGATTTGGTTCCAAAAGAGGCAAAATCCCTTTGAAAGAGGGACAGAGGGATTGGGTTCCAAGAGGGGCAGTTCCTCCAAACAAGGGACAGTTCCTCCAAACAAGGGGCAGATGGATTGGGTTCCAAAGGAGGTACAATCCCTGCAAAAGAAAGACAGAGTGACTGGGTTCCAACAGAGGGACAGTTCCTCCAAAAGAGGTGCAGTTGCTCCAAAAGAGGGGCAGTTTTTGTAGTATGTCTACATCTCAATTCCTCCATAAAAGGGACAGATGTATTAGGTTCCAAGAGAGGGACAGTTCCTTCAAATGAGGGCAGTTCCTCCAAAAGAGGGGAAAACGGATTGGGTTCCAA